GGGACAGATCCAGCTTGGTGTCCCAATGACCTGGGAGAGGTACTGGGTTTCTGTCCTCCCCATGCAGATTGCCTTCTGGGGAGGGAGGCTCCATCAGGGGAGGGGTACTGCTTGGGAAACAGACCCTGGCTCCAGTTCATCTCATGCAATTCTGTAATTGGGACAGCTGTTTCAAAGAGCAAGGAACTACTGGGTTGGTGGCTTGGTCTCTAGGTGCACATTTTTGTGTAAAGGGCCACAAGTAGAATAAGGGTGGGGGTTACTGTGGCAGGTGGCTGGGAGTGGGTAGAAATGCCAGGGCAGGGATAGGAGACAAACAGCTTACAACACATGGCTTTCCTCTGTGCTCCTTTGCCAGTGCTGACGGGGTCCCATTCCTCATGCACGACGAGGAGCTCACCAGGACCACCAACGTGCAGGCTGTGTTCCCTGAGAGGGCTGCCCTCAACAGCACTGCCTTCAACTGGACAGACCTCCAGCAGCTGAATGCTGGCAGCTGGTTTCTGGAGGTCAGGAATGTCCTTAGGGTGGCTGGTGAGGAATGGGTGCATTCTTGGGTGAAGCATTACCCCTGCCCTGGGGCTCCAGAACCTTTCCTGGTCCTAGCAGGCACCTGGACAAGGTGCAGAAACATGCACAAATCCCTTGGGTGCAGTTATGCCCCAAGCTGGGGTTTGTTCTGACTCCTCAGCTGAGTCATGGAGGAGGCTGCTTTCAGAGGGGATGTCTCACATTTGCTCTGAGCTGCACAGCCTGCCTGGGCTTGAAGGCAGCTGTGGCCAGGCTCTTCCCAAAAGGTGACTAACTACTGCTGAGCAGCTTTGAATGCCCACAGGTGCTGGGGCTGCTTGAATTCTGTTGTTAGTGGGGAGAAGGGTACAGGTGCCCATGGATGGGGAGGTTCCCTGTGCCTGTCTGCACTGGAGAGCACATGGAGAGGCCAGTGTAGGAAACAGAGTCCCCCAGGCACCAGTTTGGGATGTGGAAGCCGGCAGGTGGTCTGCCTGTGGTGACTGCCCCCTCTCACCCTTGCAGCGGAAGCCATTCCCCACTGTGCAGAATCTTTCTCCTGATGATCGCCAGGAGGCAGCTGAACAGAGGATCCCGTCCCTGGAACAGGCTCTAGAGGCAGCCAAGCACAGCAACCTCTCCATCATGTTTGACCTTCGGCCTGAGAACCACAGTGACTACCAGAACTTTGTCAATGTCACCCTGGAAGTGATTTTACAGTCAGGCATCCCTCTGCAGCAGGTGAGCTGATCACCACCCCACCCGTGCCAGGCCCTGCCACGGTGGGAGGGGCCCTGCCAGCCACACTGACCCTCCCTGACACCCCATACACCCCGTTTGTGATCCCTGCTGGGCAGCCCTGCCCACGTGTGGGAGAAGTTACCAATAATTAGGGTTTAATGCCTACAGCTTCAGACCCCTCCAAATACTTTGGTTTCCCAGCACTGGCCACCCTGGTGTGTAAACAATGACTCAGGCCAGGGAGGAGACCAACACTGCCAGCACGAAGAGGAGTACAATGCTAGGCTTTCACCTCCCCACACTCCACCACACCTCTCCCTGCAGCTCTGGGACTCCTGCTGCACCCTCCTGTGCTCCCTTTATGCTTCCTCCAACCGTTGCAGCACAGGATATGTGCTGCCCTCTGGGGACAAATCAGCACTCAAATCACGTTGCTTGGCCTTTTGGGAATGCAGATCAGGAGGGGACAGAGAAAAGACTTGTACTATAGTGGTGATCCGAGGTGCATTCTTGATGCAGAGCTGGGGAGAAATGGATTCATTTCTTGAGCTATTCAAAGACCCAGAAAGGACTTAACTGTTGCAGGTTTCCTTGGCTGGAACTGCTTTCTCCCTTCAGTGGGACCTGTGCTTATTTCTTGGCTGGGGCAAGCTCTTAGGAGACTGTCCTGGCTGAGATCCTCATGGCAGAGCTGAGTGTGGAGATGGGGCAGGAAGCAGCTGTCTAAGCAGGCCATGTGAGCCTGGACCTGTGAGGGAATATTGGAAGAGAACAAACTCTCTGGAGCACCTCTCCTCTGCACGTGCTCTCTGGCTGTTTCCTAGGTCCTCTGGCTTCCAGATGGCTTCAGGGAAGATGTCAAACAGCAGGCCCCAGGTGTTCAGCACATCTATGGCCGGAAGAGGGTCGAGAATGAGAAAGAGCCAGTGGTGCACGTCAATCTGCCCTACCAGGACATGAGCTCTGAGGAGATCAGGTGAGAACGCTTTGTCCAAGTACCTGGGAGCTGTGGGGGTCTGGGGACTGTCCCAGGGGCCAGCAGAGGTGGGGGTGCTGAGTACTGGTGTGCTTCTGGGAAGAGCTGGGAGTGTGCCTTGTGAACAAGTGTCCCCATCAGGCAGGGCTGGTGCAGAGGATGGAGCTGGCTGCAGTGCTCTGCCCTGCCAGCAAATCTGGATCTCCACACAGTTGCTCCATGTGGCTGCAAATGCTGGATCATATCCCAAATGTACAGCCCCCTCTGGCTGTGCAGAGTGTGGTAGCACCCTGCTGCCTGCTACTCTGACCACGGCTGTCCCCACACAGGCAGTACCGCCAGGACAACATCTCTGTCAACCTGTACGTGGTGAACCAGCCCTGGCTCTTCTCCGTGCTGTGGTGCTCAGGGGTGAGCTCTGTCACCACCAATGCCTGCCAGGTGCTGAAGGAGATGGAACACCCCATCTGGCTGCTGGTAAGTGACCCCTGAATCCTTCACCCTGCCCCACAGCCCTGTGTCCCAGACACTTGTGGGTCCTGTGCAGTTGCCTGGAGGGTGACTTTTGCTCACTGCTGTACTGGCATGGGAGCATGTGACCCTGTAGAAGGGACTGGTGGCACAGCAGGCAGGGCTGTGCCACAGCACACCACCCCTAGATGGTGTTCAATGGCTTGTCTCGTTGCCTTGCAGCCCAGCAGCACATACTTCATGATCTGGATCGTTGTGGACTGTGTTTCCTTACTTATCATCATCTGGGCCTTCGTCCTGATGAAGTAGGTTTGATCCCTTTCCCTCTCCCGAGGCAGCTTTGTTGGGGGAGGCTGTAGTGTGCCCTGGGTGGCTGGTGCAGACCCAAACCTGCTGCCACCCCTCTCTGGACTCAGATCCTGGGGTGGTGCTCTCCTGTCTGGCTAATTAAGACAGAAGCGTGTGGGGGCAACTTTAATCTCCAAGCTGCAACTAAAAGTGCCCTGGCCCTGCCTCAAGCTGCTGGATGCTTTAGTTCACACTTGTTAACCCACTGTGCACCCCAGGGCTCAGTGGGCTGAGGCTGGGGCTCCTGCTCATGTCCTTTTCCTCAGTGCTGCAGGCACTGAGAGCAGCTCCCTCGGGGACTGCGGAGCCTCCAGCTGGCAGCTCGGGGGAGGGCACGGTGGGACCAGACTTGCATGCTAACATGGATCCTGTTCCATCTCCTAGGAAATGTTCCCGCAGGAGACGGCCAGCGGGTGAGTGCGCACGGAACGGGAGCTTCCCTCCCCTGGAGCCGAGTTCTGCCTCTGGGACTCTCCCTGACAGGCAGGCAGCTTTCCCCAGCCAAACGTGACGGAGTGGTTTGGGATGGCTGGGGGAGGGAAGGGAATCCCGGCCCAGGGAGTTCCTCCTGTCCTGCCCTTAACAAGCAGCACTGTGGGACAGCACTAGGGAATCCCACATTTCCCGAATATCCTCAAACCTGCTTTTCAGGCTGCTCCGCCTGTCGCTGCGGGATGGTGGCTGCCCAGAATAAATGCTTTTCTCTGTCTCCTCAGAGTCTGAGACGGATGTGCTGCTCACAAAGATCAACAGCCTGATGCAAGAGTGACGTCTGTGTCAGCTGTGGGGAAGGGCAGCCAGAGCCCTGCACGGCTCAGGCAGGAGCGCTCCTCAGGCCAGCTTCGAGGCTCCTTTCCTCCGAGCCTCCCTTCCACCGTGGCCTTCCTGGCTCCTTTCATGGTGCACAGCTGCCCTCAGCTGAAAAGACTTGGAACTGAGTTCTCATTGCCCACTGGCAGCGAGGAACTAAAGCTTTGCAGGGGTGGCCTAGGGGCAGAATATTTATCCAGCAGTGCTGGAGCTGAGACCTCTCCCTTATTGTTTGGACAGGAGCGGGGATTTGGGTGGCTGTTTGGTGCAGGGGAAGGGCTGTCTCTGCCTGTTGTCAGCACCTCTGCAGCCAGGGATGGGACACCTGGTTTAAGGGCTGTTCCCCTGGGGGCTGCCCTGTCCCATGGCTTGAGGAATTTCAGGAAGGAGGATGTGGAGTGGCTTTTCAAAAGACAAAGGGAAAGCCAAGCTCTTCACCCTCCCATCCTGGACACAAATCCCGTCCCTACTGCTGCTGGCTTCATCTTCACGGGACAGGGTCCTGGCACTCCGTGCAGCAGTTCATGCCTGTTGCTCGGGGAAGAGAAGGAGCAGGTCTGAGTGTTGTGGGTGTCAGGGGCTGGCAGGACAGCGCTCACGCTCCTGCTGCTGCTCCAAGGCAGCAGAGGGAGCGCTGGGACTCGGCATCGGTCCCGTTGCAGCAGGGCCTCGAACAGGGAGAGGGTACCGTGTCAGTTTGACTTGTTGCTGTCTATTTATGTCAATAAAGCAGAGGAGCGGCAGACAGAGCCCGAAGGGGTGCGGCGGGCACGCCTGCGTCCTCCCTTCCGCGCCTTCCCCTGCCGGCGGCGCTGCCGGCCCGGAGAAGGAGCCGGCGCAGCCCGGACGGTACCGGCCCGGGGCGGGTTCGCTCCGCGGCGCTCCGTGCCACGCACCGCCGGCGCGGGGAACCGGCCGGGCGCTCGGCAGCGGGCAGCGAGGGGAGGCCGGGCGGGGCGCGGCTCCCGGGGCGCGGGCCGAGCGTGGCCGCGGCCCGGCGGGCTCGGAGCGGCGGTGGCGGTGGCAGGGCGCTCCCGGAGGCGGTGCCCGGAGCTCGGAGCGCCGGTGGCGGGGCGCTCCCGGAGGCGGTGCCCGCGGCCGGGGGGCGGCTCCGGCCGGCCCGGGCGGGGCGGGGCAGGGCGGGGCGGGCGGCGGCTCGGCCGCTCGCGGGCTGGCACGGAGCGGAGCGGCCGTCGGCCACGGCGGAGCGATGATCCGCCGGGAAGGTAAGGAGCGCCCTGCCCGGCCCTGCCCGCCGCGCCGGGCACCGCGGCCCCGCGCTCAACAAGTGTCTGCCCCGCCGGGACCCGCGCTGGGACCGCGCCCGCTGCTCCGCGTCCTGCCGGGCACCTCCCGCCCTCGCTCCCCTCCACGGGCGGCCGTGCGAGCCTGGGGTTGACACCCCAGGACTGGGCGCTCTCGCTCCACGCCCTGCTCGGGCTGTGGACACGTTGTGCTGCCGTGGCTCAGAGTGGGTGGCCGTGGGATGCTCTGCTTGCAGATCCCTTGCGTGCTGCGGGGAGGAAGGAGAGCGGCCATGGGGGTTTGGGCTCTGCCAGAAGGGGCTTCCTGTACGTGGGACTTGCATGCGCCTTGAAGCACGTGGAGATGGGCTCTGGACACCAAGAAATGGGAGCTGTAGGAAGGGTCCTGTGGTCTCCCTGTCACGCTGGGTGCACAGCACTTGCCCAGATGGGGAGGCAGCAGTGCCCTGCTGTAGCTGGCTGTCACCCGGTACGGGTGGCCAGCAGTGCCCTGCTGCAGGTGGCTGTCACCCGCTATGGGTGGCTAGCAGTGTCCTGCTACAGCTGTCACCCTGCACGGGTGGCCAGCAGCACAGGGGTCAGCGCGGTGCCTGCCACTCTTGCTGCACAGCCTGGGCTGTGGTGGGAAGTTTACACCAGGTTCACAATCTTTGTATCCTGGTGTGGTGGCCCCAGCTCTCCATGAGCTTCTTTAGTTCTGCTGATAAGGTCAGGAATGACCAGGCAGTGACATCTCAGCCTTGCTTATGGTGTGCTGGGCAGTGTCTGAAGCCACTGTTTAATCTTGCAGAAAAGGAAGCTCTAAGTAATAGCACGGGGTTAGGATTGCCATAAAGCTCAGGGGAGTCCCTACTTTTCCTGGAGCAAGTCTGGAGCCCAGCTCTAAGTCAAAGCTGTTCACGCTTCCCCAGACTCCTTTCCCTGTTCTGCTCCCACGATGAGTCAGTGTGGGCTGGTGGCACAGGCAGGAGGACCCCCTTTCCCTTTCAGCCGAGGAGAAGCTGGAAGGCTGGATGAGCTGGGACACCAGGTGGCACGTACCCGAGCAGACACAGGCCCCCTTGTCTGATGACCTGAATTCTCGAGAGCCCTGTGATGAGCAGGGTCATCCTTTCTGCATGAGTTCCTGGTTTAAAAGATGAGTTTCCAGCAGTGGCGGGACAGCTTCCCTGCCTTCCCACACAGACACTCTTTGTCTGCAGTCTGCCTGGGTGACAAAGGGAAACATCAACTGATGGGGCAGGGATGGTCTGAAGGTCCACAGGAGCTCACCACCTGCCTGAGACATGGGTCACATCTGAGGTTGAGGCTGCACTGGCAGCTCTGGCTGTCTGCCCAGAGAAGTGTGGAGATGTCTAGGCAGGGAGATCACAGCTCCACTATTTTAGGTCCAGGCTTTTCTCATAGCTATGTCTAGCCCAGTCATTAACCAAAACGTTGCTTCATGGCAGCCTCCAGCTCCAGCTCCCTTCCTCACCAGCATCTCCTCTGACCCAAGGCATCGTGTTCCTGTCCCACTTGTCTCCTGCTGCCCCACGGCTGCTTGCTGCTTCTTGTGCTTCACCCTGTAGCAACCCAAGTTTTGCCACTCCTGTAGCTGAGCTGTTTGCACTACGTGAATGGGCCTACGCTCAGTTTTGCTGCAGCCATCTGGCCCTATGTGGGAGGCTGCAGCTCCTGCAGTAGTATTCATAGCCCTGTGCAACCAGAATGTGTCCAGCTCCTCAACAGCTTCTGTGCCTGGGAGGTGGCAGAGGTGTTCAGCCTGCCCAGTGCCACAGGGTTCAGAGTTAATCTGATTTTAGTCCCTGATTTTCAGGGTTGGTGGCAGAACTGCCTCTCCTCCTGTCCAGGTCTCTGCTGTGGCCCTCAGTGGCTCTCAGCAGGGTTGGCTTTCCCAGGTGTGTGTAAGGAAGGCTGCTTTTGTGGCTGTCTGACTTTTTAAAATCCAGACTGGAAGGCAGCTTGAGGCATTATCCCAGGCTGCACTCGAGCCTTCCTATAGCATCCCAAAATGTTAATGCCTTGTTACTCCTGTGTCATCTCTGCAGACACTGAACGGGCAGTGGAAATTCTGACCAGATACCAAAGCACCCTGCGGTCCCCGGAGGAGCAGGAGTTAAAAGCCTCCATTGGAAAAGTTTCGCACATCTTCCAAAGTGAACTCTTCCAGGCTCTGCTGGGTAAGCCCCTGCCTTGCAGTCCCTTGCAGTCCCTTGCAGTCCTTGTGTTTAGTGGGGTTTCCTGGGAGCCTGATCCCATGCCAGTGCATTCTGTGGAAACACATGGCATGCAGTGCCAGGGAGCTGGGCTGTCTTTCCCCTCCAGGGCTTAGGCAGGAGATAGCAGGGCTGCAATCACTGGGTGTTTGTAGAGAACAGCATTTCTCAGTCTACTGAGGACAAGGGGTAACACCTTCTCAATCAGGCCATGCCTGTTCTACCCAGCACCTGCTAAGGGATCCTGCCCTGCTGTAAGCGCTCTCTGTGCAGTGCAGCCCAGGTGTGTCCAGGAAGGAAAACTGGATTTTTCTCTCTTTAAGAGAGAACCCGCATGTACCCAAGCTCCATTGGGGCATTCTGTCCTTTCTTGTGCTTAGACCCACCAGCACTTGCGAGAAACACACTGTTCCAGCAGTTCCATTTCACACACGACTTAACAGCCAGGCTTATCTTGGGGCTGGACACCGGAAAATGGCATTTTGAGCACTGTATAAAGCCCTCCATGCGGATTGAGACAAATGCAGCTAAAGTCTTTCTGGACTAAGCAACTTCTCTGTGCAATACAGCTATCTTGCTATTCTCTTTAAGTTCTGGTCACTGTGAGTCTTGGGAAATGTATGCAGCCCTGGTGGTTTCTGTTCCTGGATCTCCTGGGAAAGAAGCTGAGTTTCCCTGGTGGGGTGGAAGAGAAAGCTCCCCAGAGGCTCTGCACTCTTAGAAGAAGGCCCAGGCCCCATGTGCTCTGTGGCTCACTCTCAGTGCATTTTGACCCAAGGCTGTCTCAGCCCTGGTGCTCCCCCTCGCTGTTCTCTTGGCAGCTCTCACCTTTTCTTCACACCTCTGCAGTCTGAGTTCCACTTCTGTGCCTGCAGAGATGAGTTGCCAGCAGCTCCTCTGTGCTTCAGGTTTTCCATTGAAAATGGAGTTGAATGCTGTGTCCTGAGTAATTTTATTCCATCCTTTTTTCTCAATTGCTGTTGGAGCATCACCTGGAGACTTCCAGTCAGTCCCAGCATGTCCTTTTAAAGGTCTTGTGCTGGAATGTCTGTGCCAGCAGCAGCACAGGCATGTGCCAAGGGTGCACTCCCCAGGACAGGTGGGCCCCATACTGATGGACCCAGTGTACATCTCGTTTCTTATCTCTCAACTTATACAACCTGCTCTCTAAATGATCCCGAGCCTGGAGGCAGGGATCCCCAGCAGGGCTGTGACCTTGACCAACCTGACATTAGCCCAACACCCCTGGCTGCTTTCATATGCTGGCCAGTCCTCCCTGGGGCTGTGTGAAGGCAGCAAAGCAGCTTTCCCAAGGCGCAGGGTGCTGTTGTTAGTGCAGGAGTGCTGTGGAGAGAGAGTGGCTGCAGAGAACACGAGCTGGCTGCAGCTGCAGGCTGGCAGGCGGATGCTGCAGCGTCCCTGCTCCCTGCTCTCAGCCGTTTGTCTTGGTGTCCTATCAGCCCTGGCACGAGGGAGTGTTGGGAGTGTCTCTTGTTTACTGGTGACCTTTTCAACTGGTTTAACAGGATATTAATTCCCCGTGCCAGAGCGAGCCTTTCTCTAGATGTGTTTACCTAAACTAGGAATTTGCATTAATTACTTCCGCCCCCCCCCCCCTCAGCTCCCTCCCCCTGCTTCCCCTTGGAGTGTGGGTTTGAGAATGTCTCTGTCCCAGCATGGACATTGTGTCTGGCTGTGTACTTGCTGTGGCCACTCACAGCTGGCTCACACTGGGTTGCCTCGTGTCCATGGTCTGAACCCACTGGAGCACAGTAACAGCACTGCAAGGATGATGGAACATTTCTATTTTCATTTTTATTTTCACCCCTCCTTTTCCCAGTGGGCCACTGTGTCTCTGTCTGAAGTCTGCTCCGAGTCACAGGGCTGGCTCGGTGTGGGAGGAGGATTTGCAGGAGAGACAGACACTGCTCAGTGCAGAGCTCCCATCTCACTGCCCCATGCCATGCCAGAAGCTTCTGGCTATGGAGAGGCTTTAGCTGCAGAGCTCCCTCCTCTTGCAGCCTTTCAGCAGCACAGCCCTGCTGTTTTCAGCCCCTGGGGAAGATGAATGTGTGAGCATGGTCCATCCCTGTCCTCAGGCTGCCTGCTCCTGCAGGTAATGCTCTCCTGGAGCACACACTGACTGATTGGAGTTAGAACATCAACATGCATCAGGCCATAGTAGAGCTACCAGCAGTGCCAAACATCATGGAGTTTGCCAAGTTACTCCACGTGAAAAATGCCAGGTTTATGACTTTCTGTATGCTTTTTTTTTTTAAGAATAAGCTGGTTTGGGGTGTCCAGAAGCCCCAGTCTCTGTTGTGTCCTGGATGCATCAGTGTTGTGCCAGATTGGTCAGTCGCTGTGATCATACCCAGCACTGCTCTGCACATGCACCACGTTCTGCCAGACTCCTCTGATCACGGCCCAGCCCTTTAAATCCCTGTGGCCACCTCCCTGTCCCTGGCTCTGCCTGTGCCGGGGGCACACTGCCCGTGCCAGGACAGCTCCTGTCCCGGCGGTGCCACGGCTGGCTCGGCACGGCCCGCGCTGCGGGAGCTGCTCTGCTGGAATGTGCCAAACCCTGCTCAGCACAAAAGAAATTCCTTGGCTGTGCAGAGGGAAAACAGGCTGTGCTGGCTCCCTTCTGCTGGCCCCTCTCTCCGTGTCTGAGGCTGTGGAGCCAAGTGCGTGACTTGCAAGGAAACAGCCCAGCACAGGGGTGCTCCAGGAGCTTGGGCTGGGGCGATGGTGACCCCGCTTTCCCTTGGCTCCGTGGAGCCCCTCAGGGAGGTGCTTGGTCTCTTGTGTGGTGGGGAGGATGGGGCTTGCACACAAAAGCAGCTCCCTGACCTTTCCTTCCCAGAGCCTGAAAGGGGCTGTTGTGCCCTGTGCAGTGGGAGAAGCTGGACAGGCAGGGTTTGTGTGAGTCCAGCTGTCCCAGCTGCCAGCAGCTCCTCCCAAAAATCCTCTGGGACTCAGCTGCTCTCCTGTGTCTGAGCATTGGCCAGTGCAGATCTCTGTCAGCTGCTTGGGCTCCCAATCCTCCCCTGCAGCTCCTTTCACCCCGCGAAAGTTTCCTCATGAGCATCCTGATGTGGTGAAGGCGGGAGGGGCAGGCAGTGCTTCCCTGGGTGCAAAACCCCAGCAAGACCTGCCTGCCAATAGCACAGCTGGGGATGGTGTAATGGCTTCACCGGGTGGCTGCAGGAGCCAGCGTGGAAAACTGGAGGAATCTGGAGGCTGCCCAGCCCTGAGGACTCCTCCTCTTGCAGATTGGCCCATAGCAAGGATGGAAACTTGCAGCTGGCTTGGAAAAGATCTGCTGTGGCAGCCATGGGTGTGAATGGCAATGGGTCTGCTGCAAGGCTGGGCTTTCTGCTTGGGGTAATCTGTGGTGCTGCAGCTGGTGACACTGCACATATTGGGGAAGAAATGGCATTTTCTGGAAGTGCATGTGCTGGCTGGCACAAGGGCAAGGCTTTAGTGCATAAATGCTGGTGCTGTAGAAATATTTAATGACATTTATTTGATGTGTTAACCCCAGGAAAAATTTGTTCCAAAAATTATAAACTCTGTAAATCTTGAGTTACATTTCCTTATTAGATCCAGAATGGATTTACATGTCATCAGACAGAAACTGGGCTGTGAGACAGAACATGCAGCTTCATCTTTTGCTACTACAACGTCCTCTTATGGAGGCTTTTCAGGTAGTGCTGCTCTTAAAGTGCACAGTGAGGCAGACTTATTTGTGATGCTCATAAGAAATGAGAGAAACCAGCATATATTTATATTATCTTAATGCTATGCATGTGTCCTAAAATGTACTTCTGTCCTTTGCTGCCTGAACCCTGTCCACCAATCCTGAAACTCCTCTAATCCCCGGTGCCAGCAACAATTCTCTCTTCTGGCAAGCGCCTGAACTGGGCTGAGGGTTTTGGAGGTGGAGAGTGGCTGCTTCAGGGGACAAGTTTCCTGCCCTTCAGGCTGCTTGCCAGCTGGGCTGCCCCAGGCTGTGTTCCTGCAGCAGATGGGTGACAAACAGGGGTGCCAGCAGCAGCACACCCCCACAATGGGGCTGTTCAAATCCTGTTTTCATTCTTGCAAAGTTTTGTGTGTTCCCAGTGTAATCTGTGCAGCCAGAAGCTGCTGCTATCCTGTTACGCAATTATTATTTTTATAACCAGAGGGAGAGATGTTTTAGCACGAAAACAAAGTCCAGTGTCTCTGGCTGTGAAGTGAGGGCTTGCTGCAGCCTCGTGTCTGGTTTGGGAGGGTTTCAGGGGCAGCCTGGGGGCTGTAGAAGGGGTGCCCCAGGTGTGGTGGGTACATCTGGGGACTCCCACTCCTCCCATCGTTGTCAGCTGTCTCCCAGGGCACAGGACAGAGCCTGGCAGCACAAAACAGCAGCTCCAAAAGTGGCACTGATGCCAGGCAGTGGCACTGATGCCAGGCAGTGGCATGGGGCAGCCACAGAGCCTGGCTGGGCTGCCCTTGGGCACCCAGCTGCTCTGCCTGCAGCTGAGATTTATATCAGCTTTTCCCCTACAGCTGGGAGCTCACAGAACAGGCAGCCCCTGGGAGCTGCAAGATGGGGTTGAAGCTGCTCTTGTCCCAGCTGTATCAGGGATGTGCTGCAGCAGTGCTTGGGCACATGGTTAAACACTGGGAGAGAGGATGGGGAGTTGTGCCTGGGTGTGCAGCCCTGCTCTGCTCTGCAGAGTGGGAGCTCCAGACAAAGTTTATTATAAAGCCCTCCTGTTGAGTCATGAGGTGAAGAAAGGACACCCTTCCTTTCTAAACTCATCCTCAGAGATGAGTTGAGAGAGGAGCCTGGGCACAGCTGGATCCAATTTAGCCCCAGACTTTGTCAATGATGTATGTCTAAGGGATTATACAGGTGTAATTGAACCTTTATACAACTTTGTCCCACAGGATTAAGGATGATAATCCTAATGTATTTAAATAAATATATCAAATTATTTGTTTAAATGTATTACTATAATGATAAGGATTAGAGAAAAAAAAGAACTTAATCAGAATTATTTACTAAACAACATGAATAGCTATAACTACTACTGTAGTGCACCGTTTTGAAGCAATATTAAAACAATTATATTTAAGCAAGCTAAACAACTACTAAGTAGAGATTGATGTCACTCACCCACACCAAAGACCAAGGGCAAATCTCTGACTCAACCTCGAGGAGTGACCTCCAGGGGTGTCCCCACCCAAGGGAAGGATCTTCACACACCTCAGGGAGGTATGATGGAAGCTCTCACTGTGCAAAAGTGTGACTGGCCTTTTATAGCATAAAGTGATTGACTGTCAGTCATGTGCATTTTTTAGATTATTAGTCAGCAAAGTATGCTTTGTGCTGAAAAAGGTGCGAGCAGCTCTTTCATTTCTTCTTCTCACCACTCCTGACTCTCACTTCCATATCAGAGTGCACATTCTGGCTGCTCCCTGCTCCATGTCTTGCCTGTCCTCGTGGTGGGGTCTGACAGTTTGGTCAAGCTGGTCTCAGTATTTTTCAGCACTAAGAACAGCAGACCCTCCTCACTTGATCCTATCCCTGCTCAGCAGACCCTCCACTCTCAGGCCTTCACTGATGAACCTGTAAGACAAATTTGCAACTGTGTCCCTACTTAGGGAGAGCATCCTGCTGCAGCCAGGGACCAGCCTCAGGCAGTGGCCAGCGTGTCCCTGCTTGCACTGCCAGTGCTCACCAGATTTCCTGTTGAAATCTCTGTGATGTGGGTGTTTAATACCTCGTGATGCCAGGCTGTGGCAAAGTTTCAGGTGAGAAATCATAGACTGGAGGGCAAGTGCAGATGCTTCATCCCTGAGCTCCCAGAGAGTGCCATGGCAGTGGCCACATCCCCCTCAAGCTCAGAGCCACAGCTTGCCCCTGGAGTCATTCACAGAAGTGGGGCTCTCCAGCTTCCTCCACAGCAGATGCAGGTACAGAAAATAATCTCAGGTTCCTGCTGTGTCTTTTCCTGCTTCAAGTGCTCATTTATGCTGCCTTGACTTTTTGGCCCTGCAGGCTCTGCCAGGCTTCCTGTTTCCCAGGTGCTTGAAGGGATTTATGACTTTTTTTTTATGGCTTTTGGAAGGCGTTTACCAAACTCTTTTGGCTGACCTCTTGGAGCTTTACCTTTAACCTGACAGCATTTACCATCCATTCTGGTTTTCTCATTTAGATGCAGCTTCAGCAGTTTAGATGAATGTCTTCTCATTTTCAATAGCCTCTTTTCCTCTGCAGTCAAGCCTTGCTTTCCTCCCTTTTGCCTTTACAGTATCCTCCAGCCAGACACTCCATGTCTGTTCTGATGTCCCAGTGGGTCTCTCTAAATAGGCTCAGAGCCTCCCACAAGTTTTTGTTACCCCTTTCAGTTTCTTCATAAAAACAGGTTCTCACTTTTGATGTAGTTTCCTTTTTGAAATTAAACACTTCTGCAGTGGATATGTTGACCACTGTGGAGGTGCTGGCTCTGGAGATAACTGGGAGCTGCCAGGGGCCAGCAGTGCCTGAGTGTGCAGCAGTGGGAGTTTCCTTAGGGAGGAGCAGAGCCCACTGCAGCCCTTCTGCTCCCTGGAATCCTCTGTGTGTGACCTGGAGAGGGTAAAATCCTCCTGGCTGGGCTAGGAGAGGGGCTGGGCTCCCACCTCTGGAGCTTTACCTGCTCTCAGGTCCCAGTCTCACCCCATAAGTATCTCTGGAGCAGTGAGGGCTGGCTTACCCCATTTCATGCCTCTCTTTAGAGCTACTGCGGTTTACAGCAGCAGACTCAGGTCCTTGGAGCCCAGAATGAGAGTTGTGGGCTCCTATCTGTTGTGGCAGTGTGCAGGTGGAAGAGGGAAGATACCAGGGAGGGAGCTGGGGCTAACAGAGCTGTACTCATCAGCTTTAGAGCTTGTACACTGAGTGCCCTGTGGCTTCTCTGCCTGTGCCCTGGGAAGGAGCTCCTCCACAGGCTGGGGGAGGGAATAGCCCATCAGAGTCAGGGCAGGCAGGGGCTGCCTGGTGCAGGAGGTGTGTCAGAGCAGCAGGGACAGGGACCATGCCTGGGGCTGGCACAGCCTGGAGGAGAGCAGATGGGCTGGGTGTTGGATTGATGCTGCTGAGCAGGGTTTGCTCTTAGTCCCTGTGGACTGCTCCGTGGACATTCCTATGCCTTCCAGAGCCATGGGCACTGCACAGTGAGCCAGGCACCTCAGTACACCTCCTGCCTTGCACAGGGTGAGGGGTGAGCAACACAGCAAGCACAGGGGGCTAGCAGAGCCCTGTCCCAGGGTGCCAGCCTCTCCCAGAGGGCTCAGAGCCTGGGGGCAGAGTGGAGGTCACAGGTGCTGCACCCCACAGAGGCTGCTGTCAGGCATCAGGCTGCCCCCTAGTCCTGAGGCTGTTCCTCCTGCTGTTTTGCAGATATCCATGAATTCTACGATTTCACGCTGCGCTCTGCACCCGAGCAGTCTCCGAGCCTGGATTCACGTCATGGCACAGCCAGGGAACAGCTTGGGGACAGCGAGCCCACCTCCACAGTCACACCCAGAGAGCCCCAAACCCTGCCTGAGGTAAGAGCCACCCTCGAGGTGCTGCAGGGCCAGACCCTGCACACTCCTGTGCTGAGAGGGACTCAAGGGGCATAGGGGCTGCTGGCCACCACCCCTGCCCAGCTCACATCCAGGCTGTTCCCACATTCTCTGTGATAGCTTGTCTCATTAATGAGGCAACCTCTCTGGTTCACAAGTGTTAATTGAATTACTCATAATGTGAACAGCTCCAGCTCTGGCTCCTGCTCGGCAGTTGCAGCTGGATTATTTGCTCCTGTCTGACACTGTCTCCCATGGAGGCGTTTCAGCTCTCTGATCCAGCCACTTTTGATAAGTGAAGTAGGTTGAGTCTTTCAAGTTTCCCTTTTCAGGATTTTTTCCCCAGCTTTCAGATAACTTGTGTCTCTCTTATTTGCATTCTCCTCAATTTTCAACAGCATTTTAAAAGATAGAGCACCAGGTGGAGAGGCAGGAATTGAGCAGTAGGGTCTCAGTTATCTCAAAGGCACCAAGGTAAATAAAATTGCCTCATGTCTTTGCAGGGCTTCTTTCCATCCCCCACTTACTGTCTCCATCCCCTACTCACTGATCCCCCTAATCTAGGGAAACACTTGAGCAGAAATGCAAAAATTCAGGGATTCCTCCTTTCAGTGAAATAACCTTATCAGATAAACACCATTTTCTGCCTCAGAGATTTAACTGGCTTCCCATCATATACCTGGGGTACTCCAAATTTAAGTGTCACACAGGGAAGATGGAGCTGAATGATATCATCTAAGGAAGAACACTTTAAAGGAGTTTGGGCATCAAGAACAAGGAGGACAAAACAGCCCACAATCACTGCAGGAGATATTTGAGTTCCTCTGACTCAGGAGCCACTTTAGTCCCATTATTTCTTGACCCCCTTCACATTGCCAGTCCCTCTAGTTAAAATGAAACCTGCAACTCCAGTATGTGTTTAAGAACAAATTTTAGTGCTGTTATGCCATAAGCAGTGGGATCCTGCTTTGGTTTTTTTGGGTGTCCTGCAGCCTTGATCCACCCAACAGTGAACTCTGCTGTCAACAGCCACCAGTCTCTGTGGCCAGGCCAGTCTGTGAATCCCCAAGATTGAACAAGGGCATTGAAAAATCAATGTTGAAACAAGCAGGGAAGCAACTGTGGGCCTTGCACAGCTGGTGTGAGCAGTGCCCCTGCTCCTTCCACTGTGCTTTGTCTGTAAAGGGGGATGAAAAAAGCATGCAGTCGCAGGGCTTCCTGGCACTGACACCATCCAATCCCTCCTTCTTTCCCTAAAAAAATGTGTTTGAGGTGTCTTGTGTTGCTGAAACGCGAAATGCAACCCAGCAATGGCACAGTCCCAGTGTCTGGGGCCAGCAAACCTCCACCGCTGCTTGCAGTGACCCAGCCAGGCAGGCTGACATGAGATGGGGGATGCCCACCAAAGGCACCATGGGGAAAAGCTCCTTTTGGCCCTTCCAGCAGCAGAGCAGAGCCTGGAGGCAGCTGCTCTGCCCTACCCATGTGTTCCCCCGCTTTGTCTCGTTTCAGGGCTGCTCCTGGGACCGTGAGCAGAGGCTCACCATGGGGGACAGCGCTGCGGGGACAGCGCCACGGCTGGTCAGGGTGACAGCACGGCGGACAGAGGCACCAGCCAGTGTGTGCAGCCTGGTGCTCAGCTCTCACAGCACCCTGCCCCAGGTGAGCCTCCGTGCACCCCACGCTGCCTCCCGCCCTGCCTGGCACTGAGGGCACAGCGCGGAGCCGCGCGCTCTCGGTCCCTCCCCTGGGGCTGCCAGGGTGTCCTCCTGGCTGTCCTGCTGATGCCCTCACCAGAAAATGGAGCAGTCACTTGTGCCAGGGGCTGGACAGCGCTGAAATCATCCCCTTGCCTTAGCTGTGGTGTGAGCCCTGAGGGCTGGGAGGGCAGGTGGATGTGGCGCAGGAATAACGAGGCTGCTGGAGCTGGAAATCCTCCCAGGCCCGTCCCTCTCGCCCCCGGCGCTGGCACGCTCCCACGTTGCAGATTTCCATATTTTCTTCTCCGAGCTCTTAAATGGCAGGTCCGTTCCTCAGCTTCCCGGGAGCTTTTCTCTGCTGTCTTATTTACTTGGAAACACCATTTGTTTGGATGTGCATCGTAAAGCTCAGCCTCCACCTGGTGCAAGAAAATCCTTTGGGCTACGCATTTGAGGGGAGTTTTAGGGATGAGTGAAGGGCAAAATGCACTTTTGGGAAGGATGAAGTGGCCAGGAAGAATGGAGCTCACCACAGATTTAAAATTATATGAAAATGTTGTTTTTCTTGGCAAAGTTTGAAATAATGCTTGTTTGCTAAGTCTAAGTATTCTTCCAAAGTATTTTAAATACAAAAATTGCACTGCCTCTCTTCTGTCCTTTTTTAAATGTTTCCCTTCTTTTTCTGGACTGCAATAAAATGGGTAACACCCCATTTTTTTCTCTTACTGTTTAATTTCTCCTTTTCTCTTGTTTCTCTCTGCATTTTCAATCATTCACCATATCTTTAGCAGTTTTTGAAGGGCGAGACAGTGGTTTTCTGGATATGACAAGAAGATGAGCTTGGCTGCTGATTTCCATTTGCCAGTGGGTGGGAAACACCACCACAGGGGAATCACAGGGCAAAACCCATGAGGGGGTGAGAGCCTGAGCAATTGGGAACAGATTCTGTTGTGATTTTAAGGGATTTTCCTAACTGTCCTAGGCCATGAAGTACAGCAGCTCTTGCATTCAGCCCCAAATGTCTGGCTGAGTTGCAATGTCTCCTTTAGCAGCAGACATGTAGTTTGGATTGTAAGGCTTCATGCAATGGGGAATCTGCTCTGTCCCTGGCCTGGCTGGCCTGATGATTATTTATCCTTCACATTAAAAATCTGTATTTTACTGTTAGCCTGTATTTCTCTTGGTTTAGCTCCCAGCAGCAAGGAAATTTTGCTGCCTTTGTTTGCTAGGATGAAGGACCTTGGCAATCAGAATGTTCCCAACATGTAGGTATTTATAGATGCATCTAAGTTCCCTCTTAACTTTCCCTTAGATAAACTAAACAGATTGGCTTCTTCACTTGCTTGCTGTTGAGGCAGGTTGTTCCAGACCTGAAATAATTCCTGTCATTCTTTCCAGCCTCCTTCTTTCCTAGCCTGTGGCAGCATGGGGCCAGTCCTTGGTGCCAGGTGCTGGAGCTTTAGGGGTCACCCATGTGCAGGGGCTGCAGCTGCCAGCCCTGAGCAGGGGGTCACTGCCCTGAGATGGAGGAACAGTGGGTGGGCAGACTGGGATTCTGGGAGCTCTGTGCTCTGGCAGGGCTCTCATCTGCAACCTCCTCCATCCCAGAGGATGGTCATTTCACAGCATGGCTGCAGGCAGAGCAGGGAGCTGGAGGTGAAAAGCTGTGCGGATGGTAGTGTTCAGTGCCAGGTATTGCCATGCCTGTAGTCCTGCCTGAAACTTGGCTTTCTGCAGGAACCCAGCAGCTTTCCTGCAAATTGGAGCCAAGCAGTGCTGGAGAGCTGCAGGCTCGAGCAGAGCTGCTCTGCAGCAGCCCCTGTGCTGGGATGCAGAGTTCTTCATCACAGTGGTGAGCCTTTCCCAGGATGTCACCTTCACTGCTGAATACAGGCCTGGCCCTGACAGAGGGAAGCATTTCCAGCAGTTCCCCAGGAGACTGGGGCAGGCTGTGCTGCTGGGCCACAGCACAGGCCCTGTTTCTCCTCCTTCACGCCTGCATGAAGGCTCTGAGGACACCTCAGCTCCTGCCAGCATCACATCCCGTATCGGTTCTCAACAGCAACAGCATGCGGGAGAGCACCAGGGCTGCACAACACCTACACACCCAGCTCCTGCCCTGCTCCATGGGGACTTGCTGCTTTCCAGCCTTCAGTGTGTGCTTTTTATGCCACAGGCATTTCCAAAGCAGGTTTCACAAAAATACCTGAGCTGGCAACGTGCATTTGGAAGAGCCAGGGAAGCTTTTATAAGTTGATGATAGTTAATGTCAGGGCAGAGGGAGCACCAGCTGTCACCCTGGTGCCATCAGCCCAGGAATGAGAGCTCTAGTGGACTCCCTGCCACTGATGAAAGGCAACACAATGAAGTGGCTTTTCCTACCTGAACTGAGTGCAGTTCCCTTACTGCATCCAGCAATGTAAATAAGTTTTCCGTTGCCCTGGCTTTGTCATCTCCCCTGCCCACAGCTCTCCACAGCAATGTTAACAGAGCAAAAGCTACCATGACCTGCTTCAGCAAGGAAGATGCATGTCAAATAGATTGCCTCTCCACACAAATGCTTCCAGGAACAGGAAATTTCTGCCTGCTGGCAAGGATATGGGTGTGCTCTGAAGAGCCCTGCAGCATGCAAATGGCTGCTACAAAGGAAGAGGTGCCGGTAAATACAGCAGCAACATGTGCTTCCTGTTGAGGCTTGGTGGGCTGAAACCATCTCTCCGTGGCAAAGTGGATGTTCAGCTCTCAACGGGGCAAGAGCAAAGGGACTTTGCCAGATAAAAAGCCCTGTTGAGGCTAATAGAGGCAAAACCCTGCCTGAGTTCTGGGGCTCGTGGGGTTTTATTTGCCGAATCCTTCATTCCAGCCTTTTCCCGAGCCCTGTGGTTGCCTCAGCAGGGCTGCTCAGGGCTCATGAGCTGCGGGAAGACTCAGGAGGACGCTCCTGTGGCCGGTGTCACTCGCCTGCGCTCCCAGGCTGCCGAGGAGGCTGCTGCCCTCCGCAAACGCCGCTTTCATCCTCCGTGCAGGGAGCAGCCAGCTGTAAAGATAAAGGAAAGAGGAACAATGCCGCTGATGAGCAGAGCTCTGCGCCTGCCACCCTCTCCGCTCCCCAGCGCGGCTCCGCAGCCGCTGTGACTCCATCCCTGTCACCGCCAGTGCGGGGCCGCCCCTCCGCCTCTGAGCATCCCTCCCGCCTCCGAGCATCCCTCCCTCCCCCGAGCATCCCTCCCGCCCGCCCGAGCATCTCTCCCACCCCCGAGCATCCCTCCGGCCCACCGAGGCGTTCCTCAGCTCAGAGCTCTGCCCTGCCTCGGCCTGACAGCTGACACGGAGCAACAGCAGGTCCTGATATGATGGAGAGTGCGAGGAGCTGCCTCAGAGTACAGGCATTCCATGCGTGCCCCGCAATCCCCGGTGAGCAGGAGAGCTCGCTGGCAGGGGTCACTGCTGCCCCGGCTGTGTGCGGTGTGTGCGGTGCCTCTGAGCCTGACAGGGCCGGTCTGCGCTCCAGCCCCGCGGGGCTGAGGCCAGAGATGCCCCGGTCCCCTCCCTGTGTCCCACGGAGGGCACAGCTCCGGCAGGAACGCCCTGTCGGGGTGTGAGGAGCCCTCCCTGCTGCACAAGAAGATGCATCCGTGTGTGTCCATAACCCACGGCTCGAATGCCACACAGATCCATGGAGCTCTCTGGGGCATTTGGCAGAGAAAGGCGGGCTGTGCCGCCAGCGTGGCGACCGGCTGGCTGCTTCTCCGTCCTTCTCTCAAGTGTTTTTTCCTCTTTCCCAGTGTGCCTTTGGCCCGACCCAAGGGCGTTCCCGTGCCTGCACCTTTGCCGGGCGGGAGCGCAGGGTCAGGGTGGGATGGGCATGTGGCAGATGCTGGAGATGCTGGCTGTGAGCTCCCTGCTCCCTGCCTTGGCTGCATTCTCACCGCTCTCCATTTTCTCTGTGAGATGCAGGAGAGGGGAAGCACCGCGGAGCTGTTTGCTGTTGCAAGGAGCGTCGGGGAAATGAAGCAGATCTCTGGTGTGGGCGAACGTCTGACAGTGAATGCAGCCCCAGCGAGAAGCCCCTGCCAGGCTGCTCGGTTGCCTGTGCCCTGCTGTCCCCACCAGCCCATGTCCTCCCTGTGGGCTGACTGGGCAGGCAGCTGAGGCCATTGCTGCAGGCCAGACTTCACCAGGCCACTGCTTTATCTCAACCTGAGCCCATCAACATCAGCCCTGCAACCCCAAAATCCCAGGAAATGGCTAATGCTCAAGCCAAGGGATCACAGAACAAACCAGCTCCTGGGGGAACTCTCCCCTCCCCATTGCATCCCCATGCAAAAGGAAGAGCATATTCATTTTAGGAGAAGCAGAGAAGAAAAGCAGCAACCCCCAGCCCAGAGGCTGCTGCCCAGTGTCCCTTGAGCCACTTTGTGCCCAGAGGTTGCTTCAGGGCATTCAGATGCTCTCCAGCGATTTTGTGTTTTGACACTGCAGATGCAGGCTCAGAAGCCAAAGTGCTGAACTCCAGAGGGTGTGTGTCTGTAGTAACACCCACACATTGAACAGCAGGGACACCCAGCTGGGCAGCTGTGTCCCAGGGAGGCTGCTGCTCAAAGAGGGGGTCAGCAAGGGTTGTGTCAGTAGGAGCTGTCACTTCAGTGGACATTTTGGGGTTGAATAGCCTCAGCTTTACAAGAGGCTCTTGCTATTCCTGCTGGAGAGATGGACATCCTTTGACTTCAGTTCTCCCAGCTCAACATCCATCTTCAGCAAAGGATGAAGAAGTCAGTAGAGCCACCAGGCTGTCAAACCAAAATCTCATGCATGGTCACCTATTCCTACTCTACTTGGGGACTTCTTGTCTAAAACCAGCAGCAAAAGGAAGATCCTTGCAGACACAAGGTGTTTCTGGCTGTGCAGCATAGGAAAATCTTGCTGGATGTGGTGTCTCCATTCACCCAAGTCATTGTCGCTGTTTTGAAGGTATTTGGATGGTGTGAGTGCATGCAGCTCTCCCCATGCAATGGCAGAAAGGGAGCAGTGAAGGGGAGGCTCTGGGGAGTGTCCAACAGAGAGCCATGCTCCAGAGCCATCCACACAGGCTTGGAGTCCATCCATCCATCCTGCCTCCAGATCAGAGCTTCAGCTTTGCCTCCATGTAGTGTCTGTGTCTGCCTGTCCCCAAGGGAGCACAGCTGCTGGAGAACTTGCACACTGCTGAGATTCACACTCAGGAGTTCCATGTGCAGCTCTGAAATCAAGAACCAAGACCATTCACAGGCATCTCCAGCAGCATGGGGACTGATCAGGGGCCAGCCCCATCAGTGTCTTGGCCAGGAGCTGTGAGCTCCTGCACTGCCTCTGCTGGGTCTCTGCTCTGCTCATCAAGTTTCCCAAATGTGCTGATGCAGGGTCCACACAGCAGCACCAGGTTCTCCTTCCATGCTCTGCCTCGACAGGTGATTGACCATATTCCTGCTGCAACCAAAGCAAAGAGCTGGAGCCTGTCTCCTGCAGCACAGACCCACCAGGGGCTCAGGGAACGTGGAGCCAGAGCATGGGATGTGCCACCCTCTCCTCCACCCCTCCACATTGTCACCCAGCACCTCAGGAGGGTGAGGACAGATCCCCCAGGTGCATTTCTGCGAAACAAACAAGCTCTCCTCGCCATTTTTATAGAAACAAACCAAGCTTGAAGGCAGAGCCTGGCAGGCCAGCTGCTTTCTATCTGGAGTGCTGGAGCTGGGGGAACGTCACTGAATCTTAATGGCATCAGGCTGGACAGAGATCAGGATTCTGGTGGCAGAGGCAGTACTGGCACTGTTATAAATAAAGCAGCCCCGATAACTGCTCATGAAGGTTTATGGTCTTTAGGATTTGGAGGATCAGTATCAAGCTACGCTGAGAGATGTATTATCCTCAGCATTGGTAGGAGCTGGGGGAAGTGCAGGGGGAGGACAGTAAATGAGTGTGGGTTTGGAAATCATCCATCCCTCTTGTGAATCCAAGCGTGAGCCCTTGGAAAGGTGCTTTGTGCTGTGTGCTGCCTCCTCTTGCCTTGCTCAGGGAGGGTTAAACCGTGTGTGGCTGCAGCAGTGGCTGCATTTCAAACCAGTCCCTGCCCTGTTGCAGGAAGCAAGGATTCACCCCAGGGCAGCACCTGCCCGAGCCCTGCAGGCACAAAGCACCTTGTAGGAGTCTAGCTGCCATTGCACCTAAAAATTATTCCAAGTATTGAGGCTCAGGCAAAGCCTCCTGCAGTCTGTGGCCTGAATTAGCTGTAGGGGCTGGCAGTGCTCAGGTACACCAGAGTCTGTGCCCAGAGCACTGGCATGGACACCATCCTGCCTGGCCAGCACTGCTTGCCCAGCCTCACCACCAGCTCCCCACCTGCACGTGTGCAGGAAACACGGCAGTGTCCTGCCAGGCTGCCCCCCTTGAAGGGGTATTTTTAGACCAGATCATTTCACAGCCTGGCCTAAAGCAGACTGAGGGAGGAGCAGTGGAGAGCAAGGAGGGGGAGACCTGGAGCTGGGTTTATTGCAATCCCACTGTTGCTCTGTTCATTCCCTCCCCTTGGCACACACTGCACAGCTGTTTCCCCTCTGTGCAGGGGTAGGTTTTGCACAGCTGAGTCTCGTGGGGTGTTTCTGCAGGAAGATTTCGTAAGCTTTAGTGCTGTGCTGCTGTGGGAGCGCTCTTGCCTTCCTGATCTGGCCTAGAACATGATGGGGTGCTGAAACACTCTCCCAGCCGCCTGCTCTCCCTCACACCATGGCCTTGGGGGGAGCTCAGCCCCGCCGTGTGCTCTGGCAGTGTGGGTGTCCGGGCCATGCGACCTGACCGTCCCTGTGCAAGCTGTGCACTCAGGGTGAGGGGAGCTGGCACATCACCCTCAGCACCGCCA